AATACATTTAAATACTAAACAATTGAATGCTCAATGAATTCATTATAAACAATTGAACACAAAAAGAAATTCATTATGTTATCCCTCATTCTGATGTTTAGAGTTTTGTGGATTGAGAAATATACTCCCACCAAACTTGGGCTGGTTAAAAGTAAGAATAAATTAGTATTGCATTGGACAATGAACATACCTCTGAGAAAAGAAAACTTATCCGGCATCATTTCAAGATGGTTTCAACATATCTTTAGAAAAGTGCAAATTTGATCATATTAATTTTTGAGAGTAAATTTTCAAATACACTTTAAAACATGGATGTTTATTTTCAGAATCTCAAATGTGATGTTAAAAGTTTTTTTTTAATTAAAAATAGAATATTATATACTTTTAAATGTCTTAGGTTAACTCAAGATTATCTTGTTAATTGTGATTCTGCCACAAAATGAGTGCACTTGAAACAAAAAGACTTGTCACTAGAATATTTGCTAGCATATTTTGTTGCTTTTTAAAAGCAAAGGAACTTGAATTTACTAAAAGATAGGATTATTTTTGTATGTGTACCTATAATACAGTGTTGATTCCTGGCAACTGTCTGAATAGTCCCTGCAATTTTCTTGGGAAGATTACAGAAATAGAAAACAAGTTGCCTTGTTTTCTTCTTCCAAGGACCTAGAGAGAGGAATTGGCCCAAGGTTAATCTCCTGACTTCATGCCTATGGTGGAACTAAAACTCACTATCCTCTGGTTTCTGGTCTAGTGCCTTAATCAAACTGGCTCTCATAGAGATTGTATGTTTATTAAACTTCCAGGTAGAAAAAACTGTGGACTAACACATTCGTGAATAACAGGGATGATGCCAAAGCAAAGACTGGCAGTTGGGTGGTGAGTGCAAACCAGCAGTTCTTCTCCAATTGTGGAATCACCCATTTATGCTTCAGAAGGCAGCTCTTCATGAGTAAACTCACAGGACGTGGAGGGAACCATTGCTTGGTTTGTGGAATAGAACACTAGAGGCAAGGGTTGGGCTGCTGGGGGTTCACAGGGGTTCGGGAGAGCCCCTAGCTAAGATTCTGGGCAATTCGGAGAACCCATAAATCTTATTCTTGGCTGACCCCACACACCCCACCCCACCCTTCCCAGGAGTCCCCACGTTGCCCATTTTGGATGCAGATAAGTGCAGGGTGCATGCGGAGGTTTAGGAAGGATAAAAAACAGGGATCCTGGAAGTTCGGGAAGGCCGGAAATGGCCCCGTTTCTTACTTCCTGATAGCCTCAGGAACTCAGGGAGGCTGGTTTTGTCCTCCCTGAGGCTTGAGAAAAGCCTTTGGAGTCCAGGGAGGGCAAAAAGGCCACCCCCCACCACCATGGTGCAGGAGACTGTTGCTAGGCCACATCCATCATGGCCACGCCCACCCAGCAACTGGTTAGAGAACCCGTTGCTAAAATTTTTGAAGCCCACCCCTAACTAGAGGCCACAGGAGAAGTGTGGAATGTTGAAGGGGACCACAGCATTAAATTTGAACTGGATTTCTAAAAATCTTATACGGAATTTGAAGAATTTTTTATTAAGTGGATAAAATTGACGATACTTTACAAATGGCATAAATTATAATTATGGTGAATTGACAAAACCCTGTAAAATATAGAAAGGAATAAGATAAAGATGCCCACTTTCATGATTGTTGTTCATTTTTGTTTGTAAAGTTTGAATAGAGCTGTAAGACAAGAAGAGAGAATAGCTGAAGGTTAAAAAAATAAATAAACTAACAGCATTTGTGGATGACCTGCTTTTAATTGTAGAAAATCCTATGGAAGGAATAGACACATTCCTTCCATAGCTGGATTTAACATTAACAATGATAAAAAAGATGCTAACAAAAATATGAGGATGGAAGATTAAAAAGAATTAATTGCAAAAACTGGTTTATATATTGAGAAAGAAGGAAATACCTTTTTAGTTAGTTAGTTACAATATAACAGTATAACTATTATGCATTGTATGCCATTTCAAAATAATTATGTCAAGGTAGAGTGAAATTAAGATTCATTAAGATAAGAAAAAATATAATTATCATTATTTGGAAGAATTTTTGTGGTAAAAATAGAGGGAATGATATTTGTATTTCCAACAATATTTGTTTTGAAAAAAATGTTACACCTTTTAACTGAGGGCAAAAAGATATATATGTATTCATATGAAATCCATAAGGGGAAGAAACCAAAGGTTAAGTATAAGATAAGATCTTTGGTTTAGATGAAAGAGTAGGAACTGTTGAGAAATAAGAGTGTTAGAATTAGAAAGGTATAAGCTTTGGGTGGCATAGATTTTTGTGGTACAATAAAGTTAACGTTAACATGGATTTAAAAGTCACTAGGTCAGAAGTGCCATATTAAAAATATGGAATAAATACAAACCCAGTCACTTCTTTAATTTTCTTTTGTTTTTTTCACTTTTATATTTTTCCTTCTAGCTTTTCTTTCTATATTTTCATATTTATCTTTTATATATATATATAGGTGTATCTCTCTCTCTCTCTCTCCCTCTCTCTCTCTCTCTCCATACATATACATATACACATAAACACATACACACTATATATATATATATAA